ATAGGATAGTGTCCTAGCTTGTCAGTTTCATTGTCTGGGCCTGTATGTTAGAAAGTATATTCTGTAGAAAATAGCATTAAATCCTGAAATATCAATGACTTAAACAAGAAAGAAGTTAATTTCTATCTCACGTAGAAGAAGATCAGAGACAGGCAGGCCAGGGCTTGTAGGATAGCTCCACAGTCTTCAGCTCATTCTGTTGTGCTGCTCTGCAGAGTAGAAAACACCCTTGACCTGTGGCCTCTGGGACCAGGATGAGTGTTCAAGGCCCAGCTATCAAATCCATATTCCAGGCCGCAGGATTGAGAAGAGAGTGAAGGAATGCCCTGTAAGGGTATTCCTGGAAGTCACTAACAACACACTTTCCCCAGGATCTTGTTGCCTAAAATGTAGACATGCAGGGAAGTGGCTGAGGGATGTGGCCTTTTAACTAGGTGGCAGTATGCCCAGCTAAAAATTGGAATTCTTTCTGCTAGGAAAGAAGAGGCTGGATAATTGGGCAGTAACTAGTCCCTCCCACGGGGCCATTCTACCAGCCTTATTTCCCCCCTATTCTAGTCCCTCCCAATGCAGCATTGTGTCCCCCAACCTGTTAGTAGCTACCATAAATCTTTTACTGGGCCTTTACCATGGCAGGCCTGCTAATAGATCTAGGCCTTTCACAAGTTCTGGCTTTTGTCTGGAGTGGCCTTCAACTTCCTTATTTCTCTTTGAAACATCTATATCTATATATCCTTCAAGCCTCAACTCACTTCCTCAGTGAGTTTTCTTCATTAACAGCGATAGAACATTATCCCTTACTTTTGCGTATAGCAGTGTGGTGCACTGGAAGAGTTTCATGGATTTAGTGGCTGCACAGATCTGCATTTGAATATCCTCTCTCCAGCTTGGGCTGGAAAGTTTCTCAGCATATAAATTGTATGTAAAGCAACAGCCCAGGTCTATCTTCTGAGTTCCAGACCTTCATTTTGAATTGCTTACTCAGTTTCTTCACTTAAAAGTCTCATATGTGACCTCTCAAATAGAACCACCTCCGAAACAGAATTATTGATCTTTACCCCTTCTTCTCGTCTTTCCTGTGCCATAAGTGATGCCACTATCAACCAAGTTGCTGGTGTCAGAAAGCTGGAAATAATCCTTGACTTCTTGATAATCCTTAAGCTCTCATATGTAATTATCACCAAGACTATTCAATTCCAAAATATATCCTAATTCCATCTCCAGTGCCTGCATCACAGCTCCATCCTCTCATGTCTTGACTATTGCAGTAGCTTTTAACTGGTCTCCCTACACCCACTGTTAGCCTGCTCTTATCTTGCCCTGGGCAGTGTTGCTCTCTTGCACAGAATCCTTAACCATCTTGCTGTTATACTTAAATTCTGGCTTTTTGTATTCTGCAAGGCCCACACCTGACTTGGCACCCATCTGCCTCTCATTCTCATCTCTAGCCATGCCCATTCTTGCTGACTGTGCTCCAGCCATGCCTCATGGTCTTTGTTCTGGTCCTTGATTGTGTGAAGAACTTCCTGCCTTTGCCCTTTCCTGTGTGCCATTCCTATCCTGGGTCTCTCATTCTCTTCTTCACTCCTGTATACACTGTCCTCATGTCTCAATTTAAATTCTTTCCCTGATCTCTAATCTAAATCATATGTCCTTTCCCGCTTCTTTTTGGGATTATTCTTTCACGGTTTTTTTTTTTTTTTTTTTTTTTTTTTTTGTGATTTGGGTTCTCGGGTACATGTGCATAACGTGCAGGTTTGTTACATATGTACACTTTTTTAATTGAAGATATTTCCTTTCTCAGCGTAGGCTTCCGTCCGATCCAATATAGCCCTTCTCACATTCCTCAAACACAGTAGTAATAGACTGCTCCATGATGTGAACGTGTAACTCTCTAAAATGAACTCACACATCATAAAGCTGTTTCTCAGAAAGCTTCCTTCTAGTTTTCATCTAAGGATATTTCCTGTTTCACCATAAGCCTCAATGCGCTCCCAAATATCACTTTGCAGATTCCACGAAAACACTGTTAGCAAACTCTTGCATGAAGAGAAAGGTGTAACTCTGTGAGATGAATTCACACATCACAAGGCAGTTTCTCAGAAAGCTTCATTCCGGTTTTTATCCGAGGATATTTCCTTTGGCCGTGTAGTCTTCAAAGCGATTAGAAATATCCGCTCTCAGATTCCACAAAATCAGGGCTAGCAAACGGCTCCACGAAATGCAGGTGTAATTCAGTCAGTTGAATTCACACATCACAAACAGTTTCTCAGAAAGCTGCTTTCTTTTTTCAGCTGAGGCTATTTGTGGTCTCCAAGCGCCCGC